CTTACCCCGTTTCTTTCTTTCTCTCTCATTCTTTTTATTTATTTATCTCTCTTTCTTCCCTCCTTCCCCTGTCCCTCTTCCTCTCCCTCTCCCTTTTCTCTCCTTCCCTCTCTCTCTCTTCCCCTCCTCCCCCCCCTCACTCTCGCTCACTCTTCCCCCGTTTCTCTCTCTCTTTCTCTCTCATTCTTTTTATTTCTCTCTCTTTTTCTTCCCCTCCTTCCCCATTCCTCCCTCGGAAACCCGCCCACCACCGCTCTCCCGCCGTAGTGTAGTTGATGGACGCCTCGCCTTGGAGATGACGAGTGGGCCGCCGGCTTAGGGAAATGTCGGATTCAATACTTTTCATCTCCTGGGCGCTCATATCCACCCATCTTAGCCTTTCTCTGGGCTTCTTCTTTCTTCTTTTGTCTCTCTCTCTCTCTCTCTCTCTCTCTCTCTCTCTCTCTCTCTCTCTCTCTCTCCTCTCTCTCTCTCTCTCTCTCTCTCTCTCTCTCTCTCTCTCTCTCTCTCTCTCTCTCTCTCTCTTATCTATGCTATTCTATTGAGATAATCATCTTCGGTAGCATTCGGTGCCGGGGATATATTCCTTAATAGGCAACCTGAGGAAATGGTCTCGTGCTTTGTTTGCTTCTGTGGTCCTTTCTGTTGATGGGGGATTTTAGTTCACTCTCTCTCTCTTTCTTTCTTTCTTTCTTCTTTCTTCTTTCTTCTTTCTTCTTTCTTCTTTCTTCTTTCTTTCTTTCTTTCTTTCTTTCTTTCTTTTTCTTTCTTTCTTTCTTTCTTTCTTTTCTTTCTTGCCTTCCTTCTTTCTTCCCTTCTTTCTTCCTTTCCTTCCCCCCTTCCTTCCTTCCTTCCTTCCTTTCTCTCTCTCTCTCTCTCTCTCTCTCTCTCTCTCTCTCTCTCTCTCTCTCTCTCTCTCTCTCTCTCTCTCTCTCTCTCTCTCCTCTCTCTCTCTCTCTCCTCTCTCTCTCTCTCTCTTTCTCTTTCTCTTCTCTTTCTCTCTCTTTCTTTCTTTTTTTCTTTTTTTCTTTCTTTCTTTCTTTCTTTCTTTCTTTCTTCTTTCTTTCTTTCTTCCTTTTCCATTTCCTCTCTTTATCTCGTTCTCTCTATCTTTACTGCTTTACTCTTTATGTTTAGTTGTATATTTGTTTCTTTCTTAATTCGTTTCCTTATTTTATTTTTGTATTTCTCATCATTCTACGCACGTATGGATCTTCCACCTATTTTCTTTTCATACTGTTATTGTATTATAAATATATTCTGGATGCGTGTTTTTCTGATCGGGGGTATGGTTACCTGTTTGAGAAAGGCCTACAGATATTTACGGTAATAGCAACACTAGTAGAGTGGGCGTAGAAGTGTTAGTTGTAGATGTTGTTGTTGTTGTTGTTGTTTTTGTTGTTATTTGTGAACGCCTTTCTCCGTCCACTGGTTCCACGGTTTGTTTCTGGTCATTTCGTCGATTGATTTTTTTTTTTTTTTTTGTTTTTTTTTTTTTGTTTTGTTTAATGGGCCGCCTGTCGTTTCTTTTGTTGTTGGTTGTAGTGTTCCATAATTCGAGATTCTTCACTCCTCCTCCTCCTCCTCCTCCTCCTCCTCCACATCATCATCATCATCATCATTATCATTATAATAATGATTATAATAATAATAATAATAATAATAACGATAATAATAATGATAATGATAATAATAATGATAATAATAATGATAATAATAATATTAATAATAATCATAATAATCATAGTAATAATCATAGTAATAATAATAATTAAAGTAATGTAGTGATAATAATAAACTAAATTTGATTCCCAACTTCTGAATATTGATACTTCGACTCCATGAAGATCCCACTTAACTCATCTCCATTGTCTTGCTTTCTCCTTAATTGCCCATTTTATCATCATCCCTCTCGTTTCCTAATCTCGTTTTTGCGTTGTTCGCCTCTTCGCCCACTCGCTCGTGCTCACCTTCTACCCAGCCGCCATCACCGCCCTCTCTTTCTCCTCTCCTCCTTTCTCTCTCTCTTTACCTTTCCAATTTCGTATTCACCGTGAAATTCCTACTTATTCATCTTTATTCCTCCATATTCTTCCCGACGCCGTCCTCCCTCTCCTCCTCCTCCTCCTCACCTTCCTCCTCCTCCTCCTCCTCCTCCTCCTCTCCTCCTCCTCCTCCTCCTCCTCCTCCTCCTCCTCCTCCTCCTCCTCCTCTTCCCCCCCCTTCCTCCTCCTCCTCTTCCCCCCCCTTCCCCCTCTTCCCCCTCTCCCCCCCCACCCCTTCCTCCTCCTCCTCCTCCTCCCCCTCCCCCTCCCCCTCCTCCTCCCCCTTCCTCCCCCTCCTTCCTCCCCCTCCTTTCCTCCCCCCTCCTTTCCTCCCCCCTCCTTTCCTCCCCCCTCCTTTCCTCCCCCCTCCTTTCCTCCCTTCCCTCCTTTCCACCTCCCTTTCCTCTTCCCTTTCCTCCTCCCTTTCCTCTTCCCTTTCCTCCTCCTCCTCACCCTCTCCTGCTCTTTGCTCTCCTATTTCTTCCCCCTCCTCTCCCAATCTTCCTCTCCGCTCCTTTTCTTCCTCTCCCTGCTACCTCTATCCATCCTCCTGCTGTTCTCCCTCCTCTTTCCCGTTCCGTTTTCCTCCTCCTTTCCCCATTCCCTCCCTTCTCCTACCCCTCTCCCGTCCTCCTCCCCATCCTCTCTTCCCAGCCGTCTTTTCTTCCTTTCCTCGTTTTCCTCCGCCTCTCCCCATCCCCCCCCCCTGCTCCTTTTCCTCCTCCTCCTCCTCTTGGCGGCGGTGGCGGCGTCGGGGGTTGATGGACGGACGGCCGTAGAGATGACGAGTGGGCCGCCGGCTTAGGGAAATGGCCCAGCCGAGGCCATCTGTCTTCTTTATGACACCCATCTTCATTTTCATATCTCATATTTGCATTTTCACGTCTCCGGCGTACATCATGGTCGTTTATAGCTAATTAGGTCGTTATTCCCCCCTCCTCCTCCTCCCCCCCTCTTCCCGTAGGAGAGACGTAGACGCACATGTCGTACCGAGAATGGAAGGGAACTCGAGATCTCTCGGAAGGGAAAGAGTTGTGTTTATAATGAACTTCCTGAGCTGCTTTCCTTTTCTGGCGCTGGAATGCTTTTTCAGCCTTTATTACACGGTGATTGTTCTATACTGCTGCGACTGTGTTGCGTATGAGGAAAGGGAAAGGGGGAGGAAAGAGAGGGAAAGGTGGAGTGAGAGAGAATGAAAGTAGATGGGAAAAGGAGGGGAAAGGGGATAGGGCGAAGGAGGAGGAGGAGGAGCAGATAGAGGTGGAGGTCTATGGGTAGAAGAGGAGAGAGAGAGAGAGAGAGAGAGAGAGAGAGAGAGAGAGAGAGAGAGAGAGAGAGAGAGAGAGAGAGAGAGAGAGAGAGAGAGAGAGCGAGAGCGAGAGCGAGAGCGAGCAGTAGAGCGAGAAAGAAAGAGAAACATACGTAATTTTTGGACATGCTCGAAAAAAAGGAAGGTATAAGACTACTATCCTTTCTCTCCTTTTCTCACTGGCCTACTACAATGGTCTACTAGTACTTGTTGCGTTTGGTTCCTCTGTTCTGTGCGAGGCAAGAACAAGGGGAGGTCTATTGTTCTCTCGTGATCGCACCTATGTTTTCCCTCTGCCTTTTGTTCGCTTGTGGGTTATTCCGCTTCTGTCTTTTTTGCTCTCTTTCTTTTATTCCTCTTCTTCCTTCTCTTCTTCTTTTTCGTCATCATAATCATCATAATTATAATGCCACCATCAGTTATCATCATCTTCATCTCATACTATTACTCCACATTTACTTCCATATCCATTGCTTCTTCACAACAACAACGGCCCAAGCAACAGCAGTTAGTATTACTACTACTTCGACTTCTACGACTTACATAGGTGATACTCTTATTGTTTCACTGTTGCTACTACTTCTTACTACTACTACTGCTACCGATACATCTACTTCCCCCCCCCCCTCTCCCCCTACAGCTCATTCCACTCCCCTCCTGTAGCATGTCCATCTTGCGTACGACATTCCAGGGCAAGTTTATAAAGAGAGGTTTGACACAGCTGTGATAATGAGCGTCGTTAGTCTATAATGATGCTGGGGGTGAGGGAAAAGGGGAATCCTGCGGGAGCCGTAGTAGGAGGCAGGAGGGAGAGGGGAAAGGAGGTCGAGAGGGGAAAGCGAGGAGGGGTAGGGTGAAGGAGGCCTGGAGGGTGGAGTTAAGCTGAGGGGAATCTTTTTTGAGAGTGTGGGGAGGATTATTAAAGTATAGTGAAAGAGGCGGGAGAGAGGAAGGGAGAGGAGTTGAAGTAGAGACTGATTTAGGATACCGCGTCTGCGTTGCGCTTTATTGCAGAATACTTTTCGAGTATGATACTCTTGCGGAAATCGATCATCAGCTTCAAAGATGCAAAGCAGAGCAATAGGGAGTATCAGAACCAGTCTCAAGAAGGCCGTGCACCTGGCATCACTTAACTTCCGTTCTTTGCCCGTCTGAGTGAGATGTTTTCACTAAGCTTCTAGGAGCTGAGGTAGAGCTGAGGTGTTTATTCCCGGAGCGGAGGCCGTGCGGCGCGCCAGCTGTTGTTCGTGCCAGTAAGATCTGTCATCCTCTTAATGATAACGACTCGCTGGCAAAAACCTCCGAGCTCAGAAGGGCCATTCCAGACCATTGTGAGGGACGGATCCTGGAATATTATGCGGGAATATGGAGAGGGGAGGGGCCGGGGCGGAATAGCTTAGGCGCCTCTTGTTTTTCCTTGCGGGTGAGTCACAGAATGTCCATTTGAGGAAGGGGTACACACTGAGGACGCATTATGTCGGCGGTGTTAACAAGCGCTCCCTGGGCTTCTGATGTTTCAATGTAACGCTAATTCCGTAGAGATTATTGCATTTTCTTCTGATATCCTGCTATGATATCATTAAATACTGCTTTGTAGGGAAGGAAATATTTTTCGACGCACTTACACAAATTCTTTTTTTCCTCAG